CTATTTGGGGGTCCCCAACCCTGCCACCCCCATGGCTACACTGGAGTCCCCATGGTGACAGTGGGGTCCCCAACCCTGCCACCCCCATGGCCACTCATGGTGACAGTGGTGTCTTCAGCCCTGCCAGACCCATGCCAGGGGGTCCCCCCAGTCCTGCCAGCCCCATGCCAGGAGCTCCCCATTCTTGCCAGCGTCATGGATGCCGGGGGTCCCCCCATCCCTGCCAAACCCATGCCAGGGGCTCCCCAGCCCTGCCAGCCCCATGGATACCAGGGGCTCCCCATCCCTGCCAGCCCTATGGATGCCAGGGGGTCCCCCCAGCCCTGGCAGCCCCCCTGTGCCCCCCAGACTCACGCCTGCCGTCGGGGGACCAGAAGACGCTGTCGGGCAGGATGACAGTGGTCTCCAGGTCTGGGGGCTTCTCCCCACGCAGGGCCTCATATCGGGGCAGGCGGGCACCCGCCGGGCTGCTCTTGTCCAGCCGCACCACCGACACCACTGCAGCACCCATGGCATGGCATGGCACCCATGGCACGGCATGGCACCCATGGCATGGCATGGCACCCATGGCACGGCATGGCACCCATGGCATGGCATGGCACCCATGGCACGGCATGGCACCCACGGCACGGCATGGCACCCACTGCACCCACAGCGCCCACAGACCCCAGGGGACACAGATCCCAGCACACACTGACCCCACTGCAGCACCTGTGGCATGGCACCCATGGCACAGCATGGCATCACCCATGACATGGCACCCATGGCACAGCATGGTGGCACCCATGGCACCCACAGCACTCACAGACCCTGGGGAACATGGAGCCCGGCACCCAGGGCACAGCATGGTGCCACTCATGGCACAGCATGGTGTCACCCATGGCATGGCACAGCACCCATGGCACACACAGACTGCAGGGAACACGGAGCCTGGCGCCCACTGACACCACTGAGGCACCATGGCACCTCTGGCGTGGCACCCATGTCCCCTGAGCGCACCCAAGGCCATGTCCCCAACACACACATGTCCCCAGAGTCACCCATGTCCATGTCCCCAGCACATCCATGACCATGTCCCCA